CGGTGCTACGTACAAACGATAATTCTGACGAAAATGTGGCACCGCCGAGGTTCGAACCCGGGTCTCACGGATCATATCGAGAAATGAGGCTTCCAACGAGTTGAGCTCTCTGGTACACACCCCTCCAACTTCAGCGTATCTTTATTCGCGTAATAACAGTCGTCGTAATACTTAGCGGCCAAAGTTAAAGCTGTCAGAAACAATCTAAACACATCCATTGCACACTCACAATGTCACCATAACTGACCCTCTACTTCTAACTTCAACCAAACACGCTAATTCCAACCACACCACGCCCGAGAATCCTCCGATGAAATCAACACTACAACACTTCCCCAAGTCCTCAGATAGCCTCGAACTAGAGCGCCTACTTTTCTCTGCAATAGATAGTCCAGGGTCTTACCTGTGCACATTCAAGCGTGTGATGTTGAAAATTGTGGTATGTTCGTGACCAGCGACCGTGACATCAACATCAGTGTCCTCCGAATAAGACGATTCCTTCACAGCACGATCCAAATACACCAAAGCAATCACAAAGCATTCGCCGGAGCAGTGGAAGAACTTCGATAATCGTAAAAGATAATCGGAAATTGAGATACCTGCCCAAGAGCATCAGATAGCTTGATACATGTAGATGAACCTCACTTGGAACAGTGACCGAATGGAACCGAGATCGCACAGGTTTGTTGTTGTTGTTGCTGTTCGCCATGCTCTTCTCTCTCTCTTCTCCCAGCACAATAAGGTGGTCCAAGACTCTCGACAAAGACGGCAACTGAGAATAAACCACCACAAGTTGCACACTCAGCAGTATTCGACACGTCGCTAGCAATAAAGACGATGATGTAGTGATGATCAGGTTTACTCACAAAGCAGTCAATATCTGTTCGGTCCGGAATGTCTCGAGATGATATACCACGTGGGTACTCCTCTTCAGAGTCGTCATGCTCGAAGCCTAGACGACCGTCAGAGGTATCTTCTGGGCTCGAACAAGGTTGACTCGATGCTTTAGTACTCGGACCACTCGTCCCCGTACCTGCCAAGAGGCAACCTGCCAAGACGCAAACTGAACTCAGCACTTGTCGGCTTTACTTTCGGGTGATGTCGTAACGTTGAGTACCGATCGACAAGCATATGCGTCGCCTCTAGTTGTTGCTCGCAACCATCTGTCACTATAAGAGGCGTAAGATGAGGACGGAAAGCTACAGCAAGCCGCCATAGCGCCGCAGTCGGCCTTCTCGACTCGCTTGAACGTGGTCTTGGTCTCCATCATTGTAGAGTATCTTCGCAGTAGCGTGGTATGTGGATCCCTGCTATTATTCTGACGGGTCCTTTCATGACAAAATCTCTCGCGGTCCTTATTGCCAACCCAAGAACGAGGTGATATGAAGGCCATTGCAGACATTATCGAAAGCCAGTCGACAGACGACGGAGTTGAAAACCTACAACTTCACACACCGTTTCGAAGAATTCCCCAGAACCAGTGACATCCCAGAAGTACCGACTGTTGGTACGATCGATTTACCAACACGGTGGACACGTATTCAGGTGAGAACTACTAACTTGATACCTCTGACAATAACAAACTATCTCGAGTCCTCTACTTTAAAAAGTAGTGGAGCAGCACTCCTGCGAGAGTACACACGTACACGTAATAGAGGATTCGTATCGACAATAAGATCCTCATTGGGCACCCGCGCCCACCATTCTTATGACTTTAATTGTCGTCAAACTCAAAGACAATGCGCATATTGAAAATTCTGTCTTAACAGTAACGATGATCGCACTGATAGGAAAAGTGCC